TCTGGAATTCGGCTCCTAGTCGAGGGGGCCTGGGCGAGGGACAAAACACACTTCACAGCATTAGATGGTGGCCCAATCGGCGTCCTGCACGCACACACACTTCACTTTTGTGCACATGCACGACATCGGAGGGCTGACTGCAGTTTTTCCCCGTTCTCAAAGTGACACCGGGGCTTTTGGACACGTGCAGCGGGGGCGGAGGAGTGCATTAAAAGGGTCCCGTGTGTTGCCATTACAGCCGTGAGGTCTGAAGATGTGAAACAGGACAACAGCATATTTTTCTTTTAGTGAGGTATTCCCGAAAAATCGCACTTGGGAGTCGGTGGACAAATTGGTTTTCTATTTATCATGCACCCTCTAATGTCTGCAGCTCTTTCGCTGCCTTCAGGTGTGTGTAGGACAGTCGGGATTTTCAGCTCTGCTTGTGAACGCCTCAACAGAAGACAATATAATCATTTTTACACACTAACTACGCTTTACTAGATAAATGTTACTGTGAGTAATAATAACAATTTAGGCAGATTTGTGTTTGATTTTGATGAAACGCCTGATGAAGGCTCTTCATGATGTGCATCAACCGTGTGGTTGACATAGTACACCTGCATATGCGTGGCTTTCACTCGATTTGAGGTTTGAAGACACTAAACAACCTACTGCACCCTACGTCACTTGGTCTGTTTCCTAATGTCCGCGTTGGAGCAGGCTGGCGCTTGGGCGGAGCAGCACTGGCTAACCTTACAGTCCCTATGTCCCTGACATGGTGTTAGGAGACATACTGTAGCGCTGCAGACGATGGAGAGTACAGCTGGGATTACAGTAGAGCTACTACTGCAACACAACGCCCGGGAAGAGAGGAGAGAGAAGTGGGATGCCGAGCTAGAGTAGAAGAAAATAAAGAGTTGATGAAGAGAAAATAGGATGGGAGGAGTGAGGAGAACAGAGAGAGAGAGAGAGAGAGAAATGGGGCATAAATCTACAATACAGACAGAATATAGACTCAGGCGTAACAGTGTGTAAAGAGACAGAGAGCGAGAGGGAGAGTTAGATTTACTGTGTGCTTCTATTGCAACCCAACTGTGAATATTACATCTTTTGAATATTAATGTTGTGCAAATGCAGATTATGTGCATTTCCATTAGGGTACACTGGAGCAAATAAACCAGTCTCCCATGAAAGACAAAGGTGCTGATTAATGTTGGACAAATACATGTCAGCTAGTGCTGCGCTTATTTCACGCTTTCATCCGAAGACAAAGAGCGCTTTCTTTCAAAAAGTAGGCTGTTTAAAAAAAAAAAGGTCCCGTCTCACGTGTAAATAGCTGCTCCAGAGTGACGCAGTGGTTTAAAGCCAGCGTCACTTAACCAGCAAACACGTCTCCGTTTCACGCCATCACATAACACGTTCATAAAAACAGCTTATCTTATATTTTAGCTTTTCTACTCAACGTTAGAGAATTAACTGGCAACTGTTTTGCTAATGGATTAATTGTTAGAGTTGATATCGAGAAGAACCGCCAAACATTTAATGTTCTAGCTGCTGCTTTTCCCGGATGTTTATCGTAATATTTTTGAGTTTGGGACTGTTGGTCATACCTTTACACAATAAAAGCAAGTAAAACATAATGAATTCACTCATAGGCAGCCAAGCCAGACTATTTTCTAACACATTTTAAACACAACAATGAATTGAGTAATCAAAAACAAATAAGAGTGAAATTGATGTGTCCAAATGATAGGTTATATAGAAAGTGAAAGCAGGATGTGCAGGGAGTGAGAGGCTGTGTGACAGACAGGCAGAGACAGAGAGACAGACAGGCAGAGAGACAGACAAACAGAGAGGCAGAGACAGACAGGCAGAGAGAGAGACAAACAGAGAGAGAGACAGACAGACAGACAGACAGACAGACAGACAGACAGAGACAGGGTCACCTGGCAGCATGTGCCGTGTCCTACACGGACTACGATAATGCTGACAGGACAGGACGCGACTGGCAGCGCTGCGCTATGCAGCACTGGACCGCTACCACTCTGCTGCAGCGCACACGCACACGCACACGCACACACACACACAGTATCAGCCTCGTTAAAAACCAAGGTCTTAGCTTAAAGATCTGAAGAGCTCATTCATGGTGTAATTAAGAAGGCATCTCACTGTTGGAACAGAGGGCGAATAAGGTGAACGAAGGTGTTAGCGTGATTTCTCTAACAAATTTTTTTTTCTTCTTTTCATTTAGTGTTGAAGTGAACAGTCAGAGCGTCAGAGTTCTATCTAGGCCAGGTGGACAACTATCACACAGAGCCAGCCACCATCAATAACACAACCCTGAGTTATCAATAGAGTCAAAGCACAGCCTGGACCGGTTAGCTAACCAGCAGAGCGTCCATCAATAGGCTGGCTGTGTGCGTGTGATGCAGCATCGACCTCCATGATGCAACAGTGTGTGTGTGTGTGTGTGTGTGTGTGTGTTGCGGTGACGGTGCTGATAAAGAAGACTCATAATCAGACAAGGCCACAGTTTGGTCAGCATCTGAACAAAGAGTGACCTGTACGAGCTGTGAGAACACAAACTACCCACCTGACTGAAACTATCTCCAAATGACAAAGAGCAAAGACGAACAAAGTATTCAGTACATGCCTTAAAAAGGTACGATTTAGAAAGCAATTAAACTAAGCTGACCACCAACTCATTGTTTGAGTCAGTTCTGAAGCTAAAATGCTAAACTTGTGCAAGTACCAGCTTCTAAACATAAGAGGATTTTCTCTTGTCACTGTTTTTGTTAACTGAAAAAAGTTAAATTCTGTGGATTTTGGACTGTTGGCCAGGAAAAATAATATATTTAAAGACCCCAGAAAATGTGAGGGGCTTCATTTTTATATACAAAACAATTATTGGATTGGACCAGACCCGTTGCACTTAACAACCAATATCATCACTTTATCCATTTCGTTATTTGTGTGATATTCTGGACGTTCGTGCCAAGTTAGAAGAAAAGTCCTCCAGGTGTTCCTGAGAGATCACGTTCACTGGAATGGACAACCCGAATAAAGATAATGCCTCCAGCGCAGAGGCCTAATAATCAGTAGATTTGAATCAATGATGGGAATTAAAGTTAGGTCAGCTGCAACAATGGGACGATATGTAAATGTCACTTTTATACTGGCCAAAATAATTGCGATCCATAATCATCAAAGTAGGGTTAAAACTCTTAAAATGGCACCAAGACACACTGGAATCACTTTACCTTACATTCATTTTGAAACAAATATTTTCAAACAATCAAACAATAAGCTATATCGCCCCATCCACCGCTTATCACCCCTAACTGTTTAAGGATGAAACTAATATGTGAACTAAGCTGAACATACGTTTGTGCAGCTTAGCATTAACAAACTGTGTAACGACGGTGTTGGGAACTACACCGCTGACGCTGCAAGTTTTACTCTTTTCTGCAACTATCAGAGAGGTCAACCTGCATTGACTGCATGAAAAAAACACCAATATTTACAGAGGTGAATATTCCACAAACTAAGCCAGATGAGAAAACACTTCAACTGTAACCGCTTTAACGCAGAATGCCGGCCTGAAGCGGTTTCTCACTCATTTTCGTTTTAATAGTTCGCTCTCAATTAACACATGCGCGCGCGCGCGACACACACACACACACACACACACACACACACACACACACACACACAGCGGGCCAAGTTCAGACGGGAGAGCTTAATCTCATTAGAGCCATGAGTGCAACACGTGTCGTTAATACATGACCTTAAACGAGCACACAGTGACGTACATCACTCAGAGTATTTGTCCTCGTTAGTCCCAGTGGACTGTGTGGACAATGATGGTTACCTCAACCTGAAGTCAGTGGCCCTCAATCACTGAACTCTATTTGGGACAGGCGGGAAATAAATATATTATTTAAACCAGCACGACTATTATTTGTAGAAAAATTAGGCCATTGAGTAACATATCAATGTTGCTATGATTGACTATGCATCATCAATCATCATCAATTGACGACAGTTTTTTACAGCACCCGGCGTAACGACGCAACTGCTCGCTTTAACCGCTTTATGCTTATTCTGGCACAGCCAAAAGGAAAAGGGGTGAAGACTACAGAGAGAAGTGTCGGGACACTTTTATTTTGTAGACAGAAAAACAAGCATACACAACGACAGGGGAGACAATATTGTTTGTGTTAAAGACAGTGCGCAATGAACTTCACGTGACAATGTTCATAACTTGGATTCATATATGAAAGATATCGAGGAACGGACAAACATTCTGACTTTATGATCGTTTTAAAAAGGCAGGGAGTCACCACCGATAAATCTGAATGAAATTATATTTAGTGTTCATGGTTTCTGAATCTGACAAAAGTTACCCGGTGTCTAATTGAGAGCTGCGTTTATTTGACAAAACGTGTACCCACACCCGGAGAGCAAAAGGGACTCTGCGTCCCATCGGCTTTTAGAAGTTTTTTGGTAGCATGTACCGGCCAAAGAATCAATGCTTCAGCATCTTATTGAAATGAGTGAAGTAAAAAAGAAAAAAGGCATTTTTCCCGCACAACAACCAAGTCTGTTGTCTCAACAATAAACAAATCATCTGAACTGACGCAGAGTTTATTCTGCTCCTGACCTGCAGCGGCTTCCCCGACACTAAGTTTCACATGACGACCAAAAGGTCAAAGTTCAGATGACTTCTGCATACAAGGATCATCCGAGAGTTAGGGCCCGAGGCAAAACAACAACATGCGGAGACGCTGCTGAGCTGCTAGTGACGCGAATGCAACGTGAATGCAACGCGAATGCAACGCGATGCAATGCAGACACAAGACTGACTGACTGTTAAATCATGTTACATGACACATAAACAGTAAATAATACATCATAACTACAACAACCATCCATCTGTATGTGTGTTTAATAGTTCTGTGACGGCAGCATGAACTCCTCTACTTGATCCGTCTTTACACACAAAGGTCCACACTCACCTTCTGTAGGCTGGTTGGGTTGAGTTGTGTTTTATCGATGATCTTTATTGCAACCTGAGAGGAAACGACAGAACAAGAAACGTCTCATTTGTTGCAACAAACCCGGTCGAACTCAATCGCAACAAAAATGTAATAATAAAGTGGTGTGAATTTATGGTACCGGAATGCATTTCACTGTTCAAAAGGTTTACATTTTTATTTTATTTACTGTATGTTAAAGCAACAATTATTTTGTTATCAATTAATTTGCAGAAAATTTTCTCAATTATATATATCTTTTTAAATGATCAGAAAATACCTTTAAATTTCAGCTTCAATTGCATTAATTATGAACTAATTCAATTTCCCAACGTCTCTATCAGACCGCAGCTACTGAACGATGTGCTCTGGACGAGATCATCTGGAATTCAAAATGCACAGTGTTTCACAGTGTGTGGAGCAAACAGAAGCAGAAATCCACTAAACAAACCGACAGAGCTTCATAAGAGGCTTAACATGTGGCGGCCGCCGGTATACGACCGTCTTCTGCTTTATATGGGAGGACAACTACAGCTCTCACATGATCCAGTTTCTGCTGAGACTGATCAACTGATGTAACCGAGGAGAAGGAAGGTATTGAAACACTGACTGTGAGACGAGGTGGTTTAGTCTGGCTGTACAGTGAAAGCTAACAGAAGGGTGCTCTGAGTTCGCTGGAACAGTCCTTTAAAACTTCCATCTGTGGGCTGAGTCACAGGGTGCTGTTCTGATCTGCTGTTTGTTTACCCAGGAGTCTTCTTCAACTCTTCAGCCTTCCTGTCTCTCTGAAACTCACCTCTCTGCCGGTCAGTATGTGTCGCGCCAGTTTGACCTTGGCGAAGTTGCCCTTGCCGATGGTTTTGAGCAGCCGGTAGTTTCCGATGTGCGGCTGCTCGTCCGAGCACAAGGCGATGGAGTTGCGGCATCGGGCTCCGAGCGAGCGGCTCGACCAGCCGGTGCCCTTCTCTGAGCGGCTGGCCGACAGGGAGGTATGCTGGGAGAGAGAGAGGGAGAGAGAGAGAGAGAGAGAGATGAGCCGGCAGCATAACTGAGACTTTGGAAGTTCGCCATCACTGTTGCATTCAGGGCTCAAATAAATAATCCGTATCATTGGTATCTGAAGAGTTAACATATAAACAGATGATAGAGAGGTATAACCTCCACGTAGTCATTTAGCATCAAAGCGACCAACGAACACCATGTGACCTCGACTGTACTGCTGATGTCATGTGACTGCAGCCTGGTACCAGACACCCAGAGGTGGAAAGAGAGAGTAACCGGGAGGGGGGGGGAGGGGGGACCTATGAATCTCATCTGACCCCTCTAAGTTCACATTCCTCGCAGTCGTGCACGTTGCTGTGTCGGTACGGTGCGAGGTGACGGCGGCACATCGAGCTGCCCTGAACGCCCCGTCGCTCAGCGGACACACACATGGCGGGGTCCGAGTTTCAAAACTTTGGAGGACGATAGCGAAAAATCTGAGATGTGACAGTCAAAATGTACACAGGCCTCGATATCTTCTATCAGGCACACCGACACTTTATCCGCTTAAAAAGGAACAAGATGAGTAAAAAGAATTTGCAAAATCCCCCAAAAATACTAGATTAAGGTAGAAAGGACAAAAAGTATACCCTGCAGTCAAGTTACAATATGTTGAAATTCACCAAACTACTTTAATGCAAAATCTGCTTATGAAATAATATAATAAATATACTCACTGACTTAATTATTCTTCTGAACAAAATGTCACATGAATTACCTGTATATTAAAGTTATATAAATGATGAATGACTTTGCATTTCCTCGCTCTAGCTCTGTGAGTTATTGTTTATTTATTGTTGAGGTTGTCTTTCTGTATTCTGTTTTCATGTGGCTGTGAAACATCCTCGAGTGGAACAAAGATAATCGTGAACTTTGAATAAAAGTTAAGAAAATGATGTGCAGCAACATGATTAGCAGATAAATATTGTGTTTCTGTGTTTCACATCACAAAAGCAAGTTTCCCTTTGAGCCCCAGAAAAGACATGTCCAATAATAGATAATATACAATATTTATAATAATATAATGCAGTGACTTCTTTCCTCCATCCCTTCACTCCACACTCAGCCTGACCCGACCTGAACCCTGTAGGTCAGGCGAGGTTCTGAGGTGTCGCCGCATAAACGTCAACCGCTAATCCTCCATCTGCTCTCCTCCGAGCACCGAGCGGAAACGGAAACATCCCACGGAAGCAAACTAGCCTGAACTTCTCATCTGTTAGTGGAGCTGACACGAGGAACAAGGGAATAAGAAAGAACAAGGGGCTCCTTTTAAATGGTGTTTTTAAACCATCTTGTTTGCCAACTTCCACCTTCTTTCACCAGATTAATCTGAGAAACGACAGACTGCAAATGCAGATCCCACTGATTGCAGAAAAAATGTTTTTTTACTCAGATTTTATGCATGTAGTGTTCTTCATACTATAAATGTTTTGCTCAAATTTGATTTAAAAATATAATGGCCTTGCTAACTGTATTGCAATACATCGCCTTGCTATTGCATGGAAACCCCTGTATCGTGATGCATATGCGTATCTTCCTCTTGCCAATAAAATACACAAAGCTCAGGGTCTTAAACGCATCATCCCGCCTCACTCTTCCCCTCCACTCTTGATCCTTCAACCCAGGAAACCAGTACAGACACAAAGCCAGTGGTGGGGTGACGGGTCATGGAGGGATTAGGCCTCTCGGACAGATTTAACAGAAATAATGTAGTATGGACGTTTTCATGGGAGAAAAGGCAAATGTAGAGCCCCAAGAGAAACTCATGACAAGCCCTCAGCACAATGACTTTCTATTTCCACACTATGAGAACGACTCTCTCTCTCTCACACACACAGACAGATCAGAAATCAGATGAAACCAGATCACCTTGAAATGCACCCAATGTGGTAAACACAGCGGTGAGATCACAAGATCAACAGATTTCCCAGCACACACGCACGCACACACACACACACACACACACGGGAAAGAGCACGGCTCAGGCCTTTAACACCAACACTACTGACACACTGCCACTGACATTGATGCTACTAATATTAAAACTCACAGAGCAACATAATAAAAGAAGCAAGGTAACCACTTCTACAAAACTCATGTGTGTAGGTTCAGTGGGAGGTATCAAGGCTTTTAAAGGTGTTTTTAGGGATTATAGCAGAACGTTACATTTCTAATTTATTCCGCCACATTCATTTTCATCTTCACCCCCCCCCCCCATTTATTCACCCCGTCTTCTTCTCTCCACTGGCTCATCCCCCCAGACAAATCAATTTGCCTCCCTTCCCTCTATCCTCCTCTCCGCGGCGGAGTCCGCCTTCTCTTTTGTCTCGCGCCGCTATCTTCATTTTCGGGGGGCCTTCACATCAATTTGAGCTCCATGCCGCCCTCCATCACCCATCCCCCAACCTTCATACTTTTTTTTTTCCCAAGGAGCGCGGTCTGTCAACCCCCCCCCTTCTGATTACCACGTGGTTTTATTCAGTAGGAGGCCTCTGTGTGTGTGATGGGGTCTCCACTGGCAGCGGACTGGAGGGCCAGCAGTATTTTGGGTGGGGGTGAAAGTCCTCCACATCAGTACACATGTAGGGTGACATTTGGTATAGAAGATGGATGGAGGGCCGGTTGGGTGACTAGGTGTGTGTGTGTGTGTGTGTGTGTGTGTGTGTGTGTGTGTGATTTGCACATTCAGCAAATGAGCTGCACCTCACAAACTGGAAGGAATCGGTTCTTTGTGACGATGTCCTGCATCAGCATCTCACAACTCGCTCCACTCCGTCAGTCCTGAGTTCTTTGTTCCCAGTCTGCTGCTGGCGAACACATCCAACAGTTTAACATCACCGTTGTTTCTAACACTGGTTGCCATTTGAACTGCGTTACTTCTCAATCTAATGTAAATTTTTGGACACATTTAATTTTTTAAGCTGTTTTATAAAAGTCCTGCTCCCATTTTGAATTCTGGGCTGCGGGATTATGGTAAAGAAAATGAAAATCCTGATAGATCAAAGAAGCTAAATGATCCATTTCATCATAATCCATTAAAAACATTACACGTTACACGCTCATACCACTTTTTCATCAAGTGTCCACTTCAGTGGAAAGACGATAAATTTCTGTCACAGTTGAAAGGTTCTCCAACCTGTTCAAATCTTTCAGAAACGGCCAAAAACTGTGAAAAGATTAAGCCGGGGTTGTTGTTTAAACGTGTACTGAATGTCCAAGACACGTACTCCCAGTTGCCAGTTTATTAGGTACACCTGGTTAAAACTAATGCAGTCCGTCCTGCAATAAATCCGACCTTCATGGAGGTTTTAATGATCAGTCTGGAACTGTCGTAGACTCTATTTTGGAGGCTGCAGTTTGTGGTGCAGTTGAATTACATTGCACTATAGTGAGAGGTGTGTCTGTTATATAGCTTTACCTCTGTGATGTAACTGGGACTGAGCTGCCCTCACTTCAACATGAACCAACAAATTGCTAAAATATCTGCATGCAAATCAAATTGTTTTTCTGATGAGATGAGATAACGGCTGCACTTGTCTGCAGGGTGTTGATCGTGATCATGGGTGACCAAAACAGACACAGATCTGTACTTCTGCTGATATTTCAGACCACAAGCAAACCACAAGTGACGTTTCCCTTCAAAATAAGAGCCCTAAATATGAGTTTCTGCCAATTTCGAAATCTTGTTTCAACACTGAAGCTCAGGCAGTCGCTGCTTCATGTGGCACGAAGTTCCTCAAAGCAGATTGTACAAAAAAAAGAAAAGAAAAACAGAAATTGAAGCTTAAAATGTGCTACAGATGGATTCTACTCTTCAACTCTCAGTAAACGTGAGCACAACATCTGGTCCAAGAATCATATTTCAATCTTCTTTCAAATACATCAAATATTATGTCCCACTCTTTTCAATGTGGATCTTCAGCACGCTGATCACATCTAATATGTGAACTAAGAAAAATGTAATCCCTTGAGGCGCATCACAGAGATATCATGAGTTATCATGAGGATTTCAATAAAAAGTCATTTTGTGAAAAAAAGTCTTTATTGTGTATCTAAATGTTAATCCTAATAGTTAAGAATAACAGTTAAAGAATTATATGTTCTCTCAGTCATTTGTGATGGACCAGTACAGGTGGGCGAGTCCAGACCGGTTAGGCCCGCCCACAACGTTAGAGCTATGTATCAGGGGATAAGACGATCACGACAAAACAATAAGTGTTATTTAATGGCATGCATGTCTGACATTCCACCATCTATTCTACAGACAAGCTGTGCTGGTCTGTGTGGGTGTATACCACGGAATACAAATGCAAATGAATGCATGAATGGAAACTTTGACTGAAACTTTGTACTTCACACATATGATTTGATAAACTTAAAATAAGCTTCAGTAGTTTGCTTGTTCTTTGTTTCTTCACAGGCTGCTTCTCTGTCATATGTGATCGTTTTCATGCTACATTTATCGTATCACTAACAGTCATTGTATCCATTGTAGGTTTGTTTTTAATGTATGAATTATTGCTGGTTCTGCTACTTTACTCAGAAATATCTCTGCAGGCAAATGTGCTTTTCTCTTTCTCGCTGTTTTCGTGTCTATAAATGACGGAGGGGGCGGGGCCAACGCAACACCAAGACTCGCGGCGTGACAAGCATGTTCCCAAACAATAGGCCACGCCCTGAGGGAGGCGCCCTGCTGCTGCAGCCTGGATGTACTGTATAGCAGCGGTCCCCAACCACCGGGCCGCGGACCGGTACCGGGCCATGGGTCATTTGGTACCGGGCCGCACAGAAAGAATAAATATTATATTATTTCCGTTTTATTGATTATCAGAGTCTGAAAGAAGTTTTATTTTGAAAAATTACCAGATTCTCTCCCAATTTCATCTGCCTGTCTCTTGACATGTCAAGACGCTTGTCTCGGTCACGTGATACGTTACCTCAAAAATTAAGCCC